GTCCAGCTGCCGAGTCTGCTCCCTGCCCTCGCGTGCAGCCTCCGCGATCGGTGAGTGACCTGTACGTGACGTGGTATTTCAGCACCGAAGTGTAAGGTTCGGAAAGTGCGCGTCGACGTGGAACTAACGGTCCGTGGCGGGGGAGTGCTCAGTAAGCACCTGGTCAGCGAGGGCTCTAGGCACACCCGTGGACAGCCTATGCCTCCATGACCGCCGCCAGACCAGGGCCGAGACCAGTAAGCAGGTCCAGCAAAGCCGGAAGCCATGAAGTGTCAAAGGAGTCACTGAGAAATGGTGAGGGGCGAGCCGAGCTCTATCAAATGAAGGCTCTCCAAGTTTAGGCAAACGAGATTAAAACCCAGGGAATCATTTCCTCCTACTAGTTTCTCCTGGCTGAAAACGCACGTGCTGGAATTACGCCGACCATATGGGTCTGAGGACGTGAAGGGAAAACACTCTGGAACAGGCCTAGCTATTTCACTGGCCCCCTGGCTAAGTGGAGTCCCACCAGCTTCAGGAAGTCCCACGGGCTCAGCAAGCGGCAGTGAGAACACAGAAAGGCGGCGAGGCAGGCTAGCGGGTGGTTAGATGAAGGCAGGGAGGGTGGAGCGGAGGACAGAGCTGCGCAGAGGGCCGAGGTCGGGGTACCCACACACACGCCGCCACTCACACACCACCGGCGCCCCGGCCAGAGCCGAGAGCGTGTCCCACTCACGCAGACAGCTCAACCTTCACGGCGCTGGCGACCAGACCACGACACGTTCTTTGGCCAGGTGGCCCTTTGGCGTTCTCCCTGTGTTCAGTCACCCCGGAGAGCGAGGCCAGGGGAGCAAGCTTCCATACAGGTTGGGAGACAAGGCGACCACAGTGCCTCGGCGGCTCCCGAGGCCAGGAGCTGTCAGCTCACACTCCAGAGTGCCGCCCTGCACGCGACCCCTGGGACGGCAGGAGCACAGAGCTGGGCCGCACGCCACCCCAGCGTCTCCTGCAGACGTTGGTCTGCGAGGCAAGGACGGCAGAACGTGGCCGACGAGGCCGCCGCGGCAAGCCTGTACGCTTCTGCTCACCACGGCTGTGCCGATGCATCGCGGCACACGCTCCCGCCAGGTTTTGCTGCTCCAAGTGTCTGCTTTAACAGAGGTGCACGTTACGTCTGGGGGACTCGGACCCAGCCCGAGCGACCGCCTAGGCTCTCCTGCGGGCCGCCCCGTGCCTGGCGGAGGGGCCTCACTTACTTGTCACTGCAATGTTGATCTCTCCCGTCCTAGGAGTGAGCTCCCCATCCTGAGGAAGAGGCGCTATCCCCGAAGTTCGAAGAGGCTCGAGGCCCAGGGAGCTGTCGCTGGTGAGGTTGCCGAGGGCGGACCGTCGGTTAGCTGGCTGGGTTCTGGTGAGCCTTTCCATGTCAAATGCCACATTATCAGTACATGGCAAATTTGGCTGTAAAATATTTCCAGATAAAAAGTAACTGTAAGAATAACACTTCCTTTTATACAGTTCTAAGTGTCTGACACTCTGTCACGAAGTTTCTTATTTTTTCCGTGTGATTTTCTCTGGTTTCTCTGCCGTCCATCTGTTTTCTACTCTCACGCAAGACACTTAGTTTTTCATCATCAGAGGGCACGGGAGGGCAGAGAGCGAGTGAGCGATGATTGAGCGCACGCTCTCAGGAACCCGTCAGTGGGGCCCGGTCACGTCCACCCTGGCAGGACTCTGGCCATGCAGACACACATGCCTGGCATATCTGTCGAGCTTCCAGGGCTGGGATTTGAACCCTGGCTGGCTACGCGGACCCAGCCCCCTCCATACGGTGCTTACAAGGCACTACGCGCGAGCCCATGGAGGTTTCTCTTCTTCAAAAGAAACACAAAATCTTCTCCCAAGAATGATACAAGGGGAAAAACCCAAATCCACCGTGGAACTGCAAAAACTGTCCACCGTATCTTTATAAACGGTGGTGTGATGACGCAGTGGCCACACGACTGTGCCCACGTGGCAAGGTCCTGGGTTCACATCCCAGGACCTCCGTGAACACACTGGGCGCACGCCGCTGCCCGCAATCTGGGGTGCTGAGGCTGGGGTGGGCAGTGGCAGGGGGACCCCCCCACCCCGTGAAAGGAACAAACAAAAGCAGAAACAAACAAGACAGAATAACCGTTGGTGGACAGGGTTTACAGGCAGTCTTTATCATTATTCTAAAGCCAACAAATAATCAGTTCAAAGCCAGTAAAGAGTATCCCCCCCGTTAGGGTCAGAGCTGAGGACAGCAGGTAACGGACACCCTTTCATCCTATTCATCTCTGCAATCCTCACTTAATTGGCATGCAAATTCGTTTTTTTAAAAAAGATATTTTATTTAACTTTATTTATTTACTTATTTTAATTTGACCAGAGAGAGAGAGAGAGAGAGAGAAAGTGAGAAAGCAAGCTGCCAGGTCTGGGACTCGAACCACGCTTGGCCATGTGAGGATCCAGTGCCCTTAACCACCACGCCACCTGCCGGTCCCCTGGCATGCAAATTCTAACAAGACCTTCAAACGCAAGCACAGACCAAGAGCAGATCCAAGTTGGAAAGACAAACCTTGTGAGGACGGCTCCCGAACCCAGATCCCAACCCTGGAGAGGAGGGGAGACTGCGTGGGCCAAGGTCTACCGTCAGAAAGCAGATACGGAAGACTTCCGACTCGGCCCGGCGGCCCTGTTCCCCCAGTGACTGCCGGCCCGTCGGTAACAGACAGCTGTCAGAAGTAGGACTGGGAGGGTGGCTGAGGGAGACACTGACTAACCCAGAATCCTCAGCTTCCTGGGAAAAGAACTGCTTTAGGTGACTCGAAGCCCTGCTATAAAAACCGCAGTGCCATGTAACAGCTGCTGACACACATGCCCAGAACTGCAGAAGAGGCTTATCGTTTTATCGGCTTTCAGCACTGACGGACGCTCCTAACACATTTCGGGAAGAAGGGGGGGTACGTGCCAGCACTTACAAGGGTAGGCTCGCAGGAAGCCCGGGACAAGGCCGGGGGCAGTTACTGCTTCCAGCTACTGGGCACCCCGACAGGTGCTCTGCCTTAACCCGGCCTCAGGCAGGGACCTCTGCACGGTGGAGACTTCCCGACTGCGCCCGCGGTGGGTCCTGGCCTTTGGTAGGAGTGCGTGGAGCCTGCGAAGCCCGCCGGGCACAGGAGAGCTTCTCGCGACTGTCTGGGCCAGAGTGTCAGGCACGCCAAGAGGGAACCGCCCTGTGACAGAGTACACGAGTGCCGTGACCCGAGATGGGACACCTGGCACCAGGGGCACGCGGCCTGCCCCAGCTGTCGTTCGCAGCGGCTCACACAGGACTGCGCACACACACGGGCGCTGGGCAGCTGGGTCGGACTGAGCTTGCTCCACAGAGGGCTCTCACGCACTCTGCTCTGAGTAGAAAGCGTTGTATTCTTCTCTAAAACGCATGCCCTGAACAGAGACTTCTCTTAAGCACAGAAAGGCAGAACTCCATGTCCTGGAGAAGCAGCCTCCACACGGCATCCCCCACTGCCCTCGGCAGGGGTGCAAGTCCCCAGCTGCTGCTCGCCGGCCACCCCCGCTGCTTGGCCGCACCGCCAGACTTAAAAGGGAGGAAGGGTGATGGCATGAGGTCACAGTATGCCGACGGCAGGATAAATTACCATGGGGCTGGTCAAGCGTCTACACCCTGTTCTTTACAAAAAGGTGAAACGTCGGGATGACACCGAAGCCTGTCCCTTCTGTCAGCTCGTCTTCACCACCCACCACCCAGTAGCAGCAGTTAAAGTGGAGCAGTGGGGCCGGCAGGTGCTGTGGGGCTACAGTGCGACACTCTTGCATGGCCAACTGTGGTGTGAAAATCCCAGACCTGGAAGCTTGAAAATCACACAGGACGTGTGTGTGCACCCAAAATCCAGGAGGAAAACAGAGACTGTGGCGTGGCCATGTCCCTTCTCGCCTCCCCTCTTACTGTCTCTCTCTGTTTCTCTCTGGTGAGTACAAGCACTCTATAGTAAAAATCTTTAAAAAAAAAAAAAAGTGGAGCGATATAGTTATTTATCTTCTTGTGGGAGTTCTCCAAGATGGGGCAGTTGGAGTACTTGGCAAAGGCAGTGTGGGGTGAATAAGGTTGTTCTGGGGACCCAGTGTGTCCTCATGCCGCCTACGAGCCCGGCAGTGTTACTCCGTTAGGTGTGGTGCCACAGAGAGGGGTGACAGTGATACGTACCACGATCCCCAGGGCCTTCAAGATATTGAGTTTGCACATCGGGCAGGTGCAGTGCTCACTGAGCCAGGGATCCACGCACGATTTGTGGAAAACATGCCTATAAAACAATGGAGAATTACATCACAAATTATGAACTCGAGAACCACGAGGCCAGTATATAAAAGAAAAATGGAATTCTTAAGTCTGTCCCCTCCCCACCCCCACCTTCAGGACATACTTACAACCCCCAAGGGACAAATACTGGGATTTATTAAAACATAACTTGCAGAAAATCTCTTGCGCCTAATGTCACGTCAACAGCACTGTGTAATAACTGACAAGCACGATTTGGCGTTCTGGACTTCTCGATCCCATCAAATCCCAACCAGGACTCAAGGAGCAAAGGATAAAGATGGCCAGACTCGCGTACCAGTAACGTTTTCTACAACAGCCAGCGCACAAAGGTGGCCTGCAAAAGGCGTTAAATGAAAGTACAAAGACTTCTCATACTAATCAGTCTCATGTAACTCTAGTTATTTAGAAGCTTCTGGACCAGCAGGAGGCATGGAGATCAAGGCAACTGGATTCCGCACGGCTGATGTGGGATTCAGGGCCAGGACCCAATGGCTTGAAAATCAGGCTCGGTGCCTGCGCATGCCCAAAATCCCAAGAGGAGAAGGGATCACGGGGTGGCCCCTCCCTGGGGTGACTTCTCACCCCGCTCCCGTCTTTCCGTCTCCAGGGAGCACATGTACCCTATAGCAAAAGTAAAACAAAACTAAATAAAAATGTCATTTAGAAGATTTTTGAACTCGTAAGCAGCATGTTCAGTGTGTGAAAGTCCAGGGCAGTGATGTTCCCAGGGCGCACCGTGCTCAGGGCCGGCTGGCGGTCAGCAGAGAGCGACGTTAGGAGGGGAGGGCTCTGTCCTGTTCAGAAGAGAAACTCACAGACCTGCAACTGGACCTCAGGCAGGCAGGGCTTTGCGTTCTTAGGAAAGGAACTTGTGTCCTTTGGGGGAGGAGGTTTTAGAGGAGCCGTGGAAGTTGCCCCTTAAGCCTGAGTGCCCTGCACGGCAGCTCGGAAAAGCGATAAAGAAGCCGGACGGAAGCCCCGGAGTCCTGGCCACACGGACAGTGGCGGGCACTGGGATAGACATCCAGGGCACAGCCACAGGAAGCACTCGAGCCCTCACGAGTTTGGGATAAGAAAAAAGAAATTTGAAGACTGATATTAAACCAGGACCAGCAGTTGGCGTAATGGCTGTCGCTGAACTCCCACATAGTTGACTGTGGTTCAAGTCCCAGACCTGGTGGCTTAAACTCACACCGGGCTCGTGTGCATGCATATCCAAGATCCCGAGAAGAGAATGGAGGAGAAAGGATTGCGGCGTGGCCATCCCCCCAGGGGGTGATTTCTCGCTTTCTGTCTGTCTCTCTCTGTCTTTCTGGCGAGCACACGTGCCCTATAGCAAAAACCTCTCAAAAAAAACAAACAAAAAAAAAAACCAAAAAAACCCCACAAAAAAAACCTTTAAAACTAACGAAGTTTTAAAGGCATATACCATAGTTGGATTTGGTATCTTTCTTTTTTGTTTTTTCTTTGTCTAGTCTGGCAGGAGGGGGCAGGCGGGGTCGAAGTCACCGCGGAGAGCGAGGAGTGAAGGGGCGCGTTACAGCGTCTAGGGAGAACGAACACACCTGGCAGCGCTGCTGGCGGCCCCGGACTGCAACGGGGGCAGGGGAGGGCCCTGGCAGTGCTCACAGCCCGGCTAGGGCCTGCCGGGGTTCTGGGGGACCTCCCTGAGGGGGCAGAGCCGGCAGGCGACACCCCAGGCCTGGTCTCAGAGCCAATGCAGACCAAGAGGAAGGGGAGAGGAGGATTCGAACACCAGATGAGAACTGCGAAGGTGCTGGAGAGGACGTGGGAGGAGCACCGCACAGCCACCCTGGGTCAGTGGGGCTCGCCTGGGGACCTGAGTGTGTGACAGTGCTGCTGGCACCTCGCAGGTGAGGCTCAGGACCCTGCTAAGTGGCCTGCAGGGCACAGGACAGCCTCCTCCCACCCCACCTGCTAACGTCCCAAATGTCAACAGCACCCAGGACAAGGTCCCTGCTCTGGGCCAAGGCTGTCACCACGGCGGCCCCATGCCATTTCTATTCACAACGCCCGGGACGCAGCAGCGAGAGGAGGAGGCTGCCGGCCGAGGGCTGTGATGTTGCAGAGCAGCTGCCTGCGGCGGGAGAGTGGGCGGGACGGCCGACCCTGCAGAGCCACGTGGGAGCCTGGCGCTCGGAGGGGGTGTGCTTCGTCAGGCAGGGGCACGTGGGGGCGCCGAGTGGGGCCGAGCAAAGCCCGGCCACCTGCCAAGAAGTCGAAGGTGCAGATGCACACACGGACCACCCGGTTGAGGCCCCCTTTCCGGTGGTGGCTGCAGCCCAGAGAGCAGTCAGGCTGAGTCCAGGTCCCAGCTCTGGGAGGGTGTGGTCCGTGGCCCTGCACTCAGGCAGGAGTCTGCCTGGGCCTCGCGCGCCGATCCCAGGAGCTCCACTCTGCTTACAGCGCATGGTCATTAAAGCGGGGAGAGCGCGGACACAGGGCGGGAGCTGCCCTCTGGGTGCCCTAGTTAGGGCGGAGGCCCCTGAGGAAGACGCTCTCATTTTAGCAATGATCCGGGAGGTTTCAGAGCCCTGTCCTCGGGTCTCAAGTGGGTCTGGAGGGTCTGGGCCGGACTAGGAGCCCCAGCACCGGCCCACCAGCGACCCCGAGAATGCAGACTGCTTTACCACTGCCTACTGCCCTGCCCGGCCCGCGGAGGGGCCGTGTGCAGCTCCTGCCCCTCAGGTTCCCAGACCGGCGAACTACTCCAGGTGGAGACGTGGGCCCCGCGCGGTCCGCTTTTCTACATGGTGGCTTCCACTCGGGCCCACGGGCTTCCTTTACAGGTGACGTGTTTCTCCAGGCAGAAAAGCTTCATGGCTTTCCGATGGCCCACTAGATTGGCGCGAGTTCCAGAATCTCGTATTTCTGATTTGGTATTAGAATTCTCAAATTCTAGGATAAAGACAAACAAACGAGAAACCCTGCTCTTCCTGGGCTAGAGAGACGCCAGTGAGTAGGCAGTCGGACCCGTGTGCTCAGACAGCTACTCACGGTCGTGCACTCTGCCTCACACGCCGCGTCGTTGGAAGGCTGGTGCCGTGGGCGTCTTTGCAAAGAAAAGAGTGCGGAGGGAGGGGTGGCACCGTCGTGGGTCGGGCTTCTCGGTAGGTGGTGCTGTGTTTCCGATGGACACCCAGAGGTACACCCGGTAACATCTCATACCCAGCCCGGGAAAGACCGCAGGAGAAACCAACGCCGTGAAAAAGTCCGCTCCCCGTGGGCGCCGAGCACAGGTGAGCGCTCGCCTTTGGGGGCAGGCTCGTGGCCCGTGAGCAGTGCCGATATCACAGGCAGACCCTTCTGGCCGCGTGGGCCTGCGTTTCTAACCGCGTGACTCGGGATCTACCCTGCTTCCTTATCCTCTGTGTGGGGGAGACCGCGTCCTCGAGGACTGCTGGAATCTCAGGAGACTGCAAACCTGACCGGCACGGAGCAGGGCACGACAGGGCTGTCTGGCAGGAGTCCTTGCTGCAGTACACATCCGGGCTCAGAGACTGAACGTCGATGTAGCATGGCATGCAGAGCCAGCCAAGCCCTGTGAGGTCTCGCTGGGGAACCTCCTGACATTCTGACGTAAGGTGGAAGGGAACCCACAGAAATCACGGGGTTAGAACGCCTGACCTCACACTCTCAGGCCAGGCTGTATCTGGAGGGGGGCCGCGTGGGTCTCCGGGCGAGGAGAGGCAGGCCGCGTTCTCGCCCAGGCTACGCTGACACCCCTCCCGCCACAGCCCTGCGGCCAGCACCCGGGCGGGCGGCTCTCCAACGCGCGGACAGGGAGGCGCCGGTGCACGGGCAGCGTGCTCACGCACGGCGAGCGGACGTACTTGCAGGGCAGCACCCGGACAACGTCGTTCTGCTTGTAGCTCTCTATGCACACGGCGCAGTGGTCGAAGTCCGGGTCTGTCTCCTGAAACCAAGCACAGGCAGAGGTCACAACGGCGGAGAGGAGGACTCAGAGAGGAGGGTCCTGGCCGCGGGCGTGAGCACGTGCTTATAAAGTGGAAACTTAAAAATAATACGGCTTCGGCTGCTTAAAAATAATGACCCAAATTATATCTAGGCCGATGACCTTCTTTGAAAATTACGTCGTAACCATTAATACTCTGTTTGTCTTTCAAGATTCATGCCAGCTGTCATCTCTGACATGGCGATGTCCCCTCCCCTGTTCCTCCTGCTACTTTGACCAGGATTCCCAGCACACCCTGCCGCCCACACCACCCGGGTCCTCGTTAGGGCCTTGTTAACCCCAGTCCTAAGTGCGGGGTTAGAGCCAGCAGGTTTTGTCACGAGGTTAAGGGGTTCCCTCCCTCCGTGGGGAGCAGCTGCTTGAAACACAGCCCGCCAGGAGCCCCTGTCCTCGTGCTTGGACGGGGACTCAGTGGAGCAGCTCGGAGGCCTCGGCCTGAGACGGGCCAGCTCTCGTGGAGGAAGGGCAGGCGCTCCGTGCTGACAGGAGCAGGGGACAGTCCCAGGGAATTTCGAACTGACGCAGCTGAAGGCCCCCGGGCCGAGACAGTGTCTACACTGGTCCCCACTCCTCTGGGCGGGAGTGCAGCTGTTTGGATCTACTGCCTTTTCTACAGATGACCCCTTCTCCTGGGTGTACCAGGAAGCCCGCCAGGAGGCTCTCCACCATCTTGAGCTACATTAAATGGGAAACCAGCCGGGGGTCTCAAGGCAAGGGGAACAAAAATGGGGAGTCCAAGGGGTGAAAACGAGAGGGTAAAGAATAACCCGAAATCATTCTCCCGAGGGCTCGTTCCTGGAACCAAGAGCGGGTGCAGGGCAGGGCAGCGGGGTGTTACGCCTTAGACATGCACCTTGCACTCCAGATGGTCAGACCGGGGGAGCCCCAGCCCAGCATCGGCCCACCCACAGGCCGCGCCTGCTCTGTGAAACTGCTCACCCTACCGCCAAGGCAGCGCCCATATCTGCCTCTTGCAGTGACTGCTTTCTGTCTCTGTCTAACTGGTGAGAGACAGCACGAGGCAGACCCAGCAGTGCAGAGGCACAGGGAAAGAACACGTTCTTCTGGGGAAGGCACAGATGGTCCCGCGGGAACGCTGGGACCCGGCAGAGAAAACTGCTGAAAACCACAGCTGGGTGACTGCAAGCAGCCGGTGACATGACGACAAGGGGTTTACCACCCAGGAAGGCCAGGGGCGCCAAGGAGGGCCACAGAGAGGGCGGGTGGGAGGCGGTAGGGGTGCCCTTGGAGCAAAACGGCGAGGCAGCGCGTGAGACCCGCTGGGAACGCTCTCCCACCAAAAACACCGAGTCCTAGCTTCACGCGGTTAGAGTCACCACGTACTGTACCTTGTCACCCTTTTTGACTGTCCTGGTTGTCAGTTTGCTGATGGCTTTCTTGGCTGCATCTCCCAGACGACGCTAAGAAAGAGATGTTAAGTACAAGATTTCTAGAGCGTCTTTTAAAAATGTAATAAACTGTACAAAGACCTTGTTATCCTGCGTGACCCTCCCCATCGCGTTAGGATTCTAAATAAGGCATTTAAAGTCAGTACACCCGGCGGCTGCACGGCAGGCCCCGATCGAGGGCAGAGAACAGCGTCGGGGGCATCAGCTCAGCAATCGCACACCGACTGCGCTGCGTGTCCACCTCGGACTGTGCACTCCCGGCCATGAGCCCGCAGCTGTCCTGCCTGCTGTAGGTGCGCCCATTGGTGGGACTCCGGGTGGGGAGCCAGGTCTTGGTGTCAGCGGCTCCCCCCTTCCTGTTCCCAGCTCACCGCGGCGCCGAATCACTCCCGTTCTCCAGCTCGCTCTCGGTTCACGTGGTTCTTCTCCCTCCCTTTTTTTTTTTTTAATTGCCAGAGGGTTTGTGTGAGAGCGAGAAAGGAAAAGAGAGAGAGACAGAGCGAGCGAAAGCACCTCCTAGAGAGATGACAGGCCACGCCCCTCCTCCGCGCTCCTTGCGGGGCCGCGGGCTGGTACGCACAAGCGCCCGGGTGTTCTTCAGGCTGCCTGGTCAGGCCCGGCCGCACCGTGAGGGGCCCGCAGCCCTGAGTAGGTCCCTGTGCTGGTGTAGCTGTCTTGAATGCATTTCGGATCAATTGTTTTCCCTTATTTTCAATTCTGATGATAAATATAGAACACATAATTCCAAAGTCAAACCCTAAAATCAGGAGCTGGGAAGCCTCACTTTCATCTCCCTCTGCTCCCCTTCCCACTCAAGTAGTAACTCCAGGTTCAATTCTGCCCTACACCGCTCCCGGTCGGGGACGGCTGTATGTGGACACGTGTGCTGTGTGTGCCCACATGTGCGTGGCTCTGAGGATCCCATGGGGACAGGTGTATGTGGACGTGCCCTGTGTGTACCCACGTGTGCTATGTGGTGTGTGCCCACATGTGCTATGTTCTGTGTGTACCCACGTGTGCTGTGTCCAGTGTGTACCCGTGTGTGCTATATTCCATGTGTACCCACGTGTGCCGTGTCCCGTGTGGACCTACATGTGTGACGTATCTCACAGTCTCGTCATGCACCGAGCTGTTCTCGTGCTGCTCCTCTCCCCTGGACAGCACTTCTCGCTCATGGAGATCTCCAGAATCCTCTCTTTCTTTTTTTTTTTTTTTCTTATGGAGAAGTTTTTGCTATAGGGCGTGTGCGCTCTCCAGAAAGAGAGAGAGAGAGACAGACAGAAAGCGAGAACCTCCCAGGGAGATGGTCATGCCTCAATCCCTTCTCCTCCTTCTCCTCTTGGAATCTTGGGCACGCACGCACACGCACGCATGAGTTTAAGCCATCGGGTCTGGGACTCGAACCGTGGTCGACTACATGGGAGTCCAGCAACTACATGGAGGCCCAGCAACACAGCCATTATGCCAACTGCTGGTCCCCCAGAATTCCTTCTCTTTTAATTTAAAAAACTGTTATTTACTTAATTTTATTCATTTTTTTTTTTTTACTTGACCAGAGAGAGATGGTTAGGCAAGTGGGGGTAGTGAGAGAGTGAGCCGCCACGACCTGGATTTGAACCGTGGTCAACCCTGTGGGAATTCAGCACCATGCTGCCTCTGGCCCCCAGAACTCCTTCTCTACAGCCACTCACTCCTCTGTTGCATTCACAGTATTTCACTGTGTAGAAACGAATTAATTATATCTGTAAAAGATTAGGATGATTACTTCTAATTGGAACATAGTGCCTATGTATTTACGGGGCACGGCCTAACTTGTAGATAAATGAAACCCAGCCTGACGGTCCGGCTGTGCAGCGGGAGGCAGCGGCCGTGCACGGTGCTACCTGCTCGTGTGAGGGGTCCCCGGGGGCGTGGGAGCGAGCCGTCGGAGCAGCTCAGAATTCCTGAGAGCGGGTGAGGCAGTAACTCCCCGGCTCCAGCTCTGGAATAAACGGTGCAGAAGTCCTTCCAGCAGCCGTCAGCGGCGGCGAGTCTGCCTTTCGTGACCATGCAATCCTTCCTACATGAAGAGCCCCGACAACTTTTACAACCCCCCTTCTCTCCCACCTGGACCTCGTTTCCAGACTGTGGGGGACACACGGGCGCCTGCGGCCCTCTGACAGGGCGCGCCAGCGCCTCCTCCCACACGGCTGCTCTCCGGGGCCCGGATGGAAACGAGCGATCCCAGCACGTGCCGCTCGGGTCACCTCGACGCACTGGTGCGGTCGGCACTGCCGGCGCGGGCAGGACTTAAATCTGACTACTCCGACACTGAAGGTGCAACCCTAATCACGCCACTGTTAGGGTTTTAGGTTTCTCAGAAACCCTACCTACCCCTTCACCAGGAATGCAGCACACGGCTTCCCTGGTGTGAGCTCATCCGATTAGCTTCGAGGTGACCTCCGGGGCTCCCTCGCTGCGGGGGGTGCGTCCTAGGTTCCTGGCAGTCGGCCCGAAAGCCACAGTGGCACCCCCCGTGCCAGGGACCCACGGCTCTGGCTCTCGGGAGGACGTTCAGAGCAGACAGCCTGGAGGAGGCGCCCAGTCCCATGGTGAGTCCTTTGCCCACAGTTCTGGCTTCGCTTTTAGAACAGCCCGAGGTTCCAATCGGTCAGGCTGCTGCCACCTTCTGATCAAACTTTAATACACTAAGCTTTTCAAGCCACATAAAAATTTCATCAGGGGACCAGCAGTTGGCGTGATGGCTATGTTGCTGGACTCCCATGTAGTCGACCGGGGTTCGCATCCTGGACCCGGTGGCTTAAAACTCACGCCGGGCGCGTGTGCGTACATGCCCAAGATCTCGAGAGGAGAACGGATTATGGTTTGGCCATCCCCCCTGGGGGGTGATTTCTCGCTGTCTGTCTCTCTGTCTGTCTGGTGAGTGCATGCGCCCTATAGCAAAAACCTCTCAAAAAAAAAAAAAATCATCAGGCATTTCTCCACCTAAGGAAAGAACAGAAGGAAGGAAAAAGGTCCGAATATCACTTTCCACTAAAGCAGTGCCCAGGGCCAGGCGGTGGGACGGGTGGTCGGCAGGGACAGGTCCTGCTGTGGGCCGCCAGGACGGGGACGTGCCCCCACCCCACACCCCACACCCTTCCGGGCATGAACTAAAGCACCTGCTATGGCCGAGAGCAGACCAGGTCTCGGCCCGCCAGGGGCCATCTGTCTATCCGTTCGTCCGTCTGTCTGTCCTTCCCTCTTTCTTTCTTTCATTGCCTCTCCCCTTTTTCTTGCTCTCTTTCCTTTCTTCTTTCAAATCATTACTTGTCTACTTTTATCATTACTGTGGCTTTTAACTTGCTGCAGTGCACGTGTGGGCAGTGTGCCATCCGGCCCACTCCAACGGGCCTCCCTTGCGAGATGGCGTTTCAGGGCAGGCCCAGTCCCCTCACGTTGAGCGTCCCGCATGGCGACGTGTTAGACCTCTGAACTGGCTAACAGCAACGGCCAAACGACCACAGCCTGCCACAGTCGGGCATTACACAGAAAAACTCCCGAACCCCAACAGTAAAGAACAAACAGCAGAAAACAGCCATGACGCAAATGGGTGTTACGCTGAAGAGGACACGGGCGTGGGGATCGGCACGGGGCAGATGCCCGGTTCCGGCAGCCACTAGAGCAATGCGAGTTCACACCAGGATGGGCGACCCCGACCCTGCAGGGTGGCGGGGACAGAGCGCCACCGCGCCGTCCAGTCTGCAGGAGTGGCCCAGCCGCGTGCCTCTGCTAGGGGTGTAAAATGGCGCGGTCCGTTTGGAAGCAGAGCACAGCAGTTTCTTCTAAAACCAAGTGTGTGCTTACCGTCGTAGCCCGGAAACTGCACTCCTGACATTCACACTGCTCAGAAATGACACCTTCACCCCAGGAAATGAAAATTCACTCTCTCACAACCTCTATCCACATGCTCATGGCCGTCTCCTCACTGTAGCCCCAAACCCAGATACGGGTCAACGAATGAGCAATCAAGTCAGGGGCTACCCGGGCCACGGACGGCTACTCTGCAATGGGAGGAGAGAAGCTACGATGGGCAGCAGCGTGGGCAGACCCTGAGGGCCAGCCTGCAGGGCTCAGTGCTACGTGACCCCGTTCCTACAGCTCTGCAGAGATGGCACGCTTCAGAGCTGGGGGCGGACCTCGGGAAGCCAGGGGCTGAGGAATGGGGAGGGAGGGAGGTGCCGGGGCTGAGCCCGTGTACAGGGACCCCTGAGACAGAGCTGCTCTGCTTCTCGACTCCCATCTTCACGTGATGAGCTCAGAAGTAAACCTGTGTGCACACACAGCCCACGTGACAGAAAGGACAGGCGACTCGGAGGACGCCAGGACCCAGTAAGCTGGGTAGGTTACATCCAGGAGCACGCCCGAGTTGCGATACTAATTCCAGCTTTGCAGGAAAGTGGAGAGGGGTATATGGGATCTCTCTGCACTATTTCTTTTTTTTTTAAAGAATTATTTATTGTGGGGACCAGCAATGGTGTAGTGGTTATCATGGACTCCACATGGTCAGCCGTGGTTTGAGGCTCAGACCCAGAGGCTTGAAACTCATGCCAAGTGCGTGCCCAAAATATCAACAGGAGAGTGGAGGAGAACGGACCGTGGAGTGGCCATCTCCAGGGGGTGACTTCTGGCTTTCTGTCTCTTTGTCTCTCTGGCGAGCACACACCCTATAGCAAAAATCTCTCTCTAAAAATGAAAAAAAAAATTATTTTTATTTATTATCATTTTTATTTTTTATTTTTATTTTTAATTTGACCAGTGAGAAAGAGAGAGAAAGGGAGACTGAGAAAGCAAACTTCCAGGTCCAGGATTCAAACTGTAGTGGGCCATTTGGGAGTCTAACGCCTTAAGAACCACGCCACCTGCTGGCCCTCTGTATTATTTCTTAAAAATGCAAACAAAGCTCCAATGATCTCAAAATAGAATGTTTTAACAACATGTAAAGGACTGATATTTCTGACAAAAAATGCACACACACTGAATCTAACCCTGAAACAACATCAGAACAACAAACGAGTTCAAATATAAAACAGGGGCCGGCGGGTGGCGTTGTGGATAGGGGCGCTGGACTCCCACGTGGCCGACTGCTGCTCGAGTCCCAGACCTGGCGACTTGCTTTCTCACTTTCTGCTCTCTCTCTCTCTGTCCCTCTCTGGTAATAAATAAATAAATAAGGTTGAATAAAATAATTCTTTTTTAAAAAAGCAAAATAACTGATCCATACTATTCAAAAACGTCGGGGTCATGAAACAGAAAACGTGACACTCCGATCTGACGGGGCCGGGCTGTCTCTGCCACGGAGGAACCACTGGACCGGTGCTGAGGAAGTCCGACAAACATGAGACCGGGTGTATCACCTCAAGTGCCTGCTTTCGATATCGCTGTGGTTAGGGAGAGCAGGGAGGTCCGTCCTGACCACGCACAGTGCGGCATGTCCAGGTAAAGGGCCCTGACCTGGAGACAACTTACTTTTCCTCAAATGATTTTCGACAAGAATATATCCACGAGAAGGAGACATGGTGAATGCTAAAGGCTGCAGAATCTGAGTGAAGGGAAAACTTCACAATATTCTTGAAACCTTTTTTCTAAGTCTAAAATTGTAAGTAATCAAAATAATCAAAATAGCACAAAACCGAAGGTATACAGGACACTGCACAGGGCCTGGCTCAGAAAGGCTCAACAAGTGACAGCTTTCAGACATTCCCCTGCTGTTTTCAGATGAAGAAATAAGCTGAGAAGTTAGAAGAACTAGCCAAGAGGGCCGAGGCAGACCGCTGGCTAGGTAAGATGCGAACTCCGGTCTGCTCCGTGCTGAGGTCTGTGCTGCTGTCACGGAGCCTGGCTCAGGTTCAGCCTCGAGCACCTCGAGCACCTCGAGCACCTCGAGCAGAGGAGGGGGCACACTGAGAGGACTGTGTCCCGCAGGCCCTCCCAGGAAGGCACGCGGCCTTCGACCAACCAGACTCTCTAATAGGGCCGCCCAGAGAGAGCTCTCTTACACCCTCGACCCACTCCCTCCTCCACGTTTGAGCTTAGATACTGAAGAGCATTATTCTGAGCTGATTAGTTTTTTCTGAATAAGATGTTGGGACCAGCAGATGGCAAAATGGCTATGTCGCTGAACTCCCACGCAGTTGACTGCAGTTCAAGTCCCGGACCCGGTGGCTTAAACTCACGCCGGGCGTGTGTGCGTGCGTGCCCCAAGATCCCAAGAGGAGAATGGAGGAGAAGGGATTGTGGCGTGGCCTTCCCCCCTGGGGGGTGATTTCTTGCTTTCTATCTCTCTCTGTCTTTCCAGCGAGCACATGTGCCCTACAGCAAAAATCTCTCTCTAAAAAATGTGATTTTGTGTCATTTCTCCAAAATTTACAGAATTATCCAGATTGTAGTATGACATTAAATTAGATACCTATCAACAGACTATTTTGAGTGACCACCATAAATTTTAAAAATTCTCCTAGGTATTTTAAATACCCTGGAAATGCGTCTGTATGTTTTCGACGTATTAAACCAAATGAAGGCTCCAGCGGTTTTTCACCGCCCCGCCCGCCGCCCCGCCGGCAGCTCACCTGGTTCCGGTCGCGTGCGTTCGTGTACCTGATCTTCTGGATGAAGTAGAAGATGAGCCACGCGGACGAGATCATCATGAGGACAATGAAGGATATGGACACGAAGACCAGGGAGCCCCGGCTGAAGCTCTTGGGCGGCATCCGCGTGCCAACCGCGATCGTCATCTGCACAGAGATGTTCTTCTCCAGGTAGCTCAGGATGTCCTTGCCCCTCAGCTCTGTGATCATCACCGCTATGATGTCTCCAGTGCCTGGAACGCAAAGGACGCAGACGCTCAGTGGCCGCCGGGACGGCAGACGCAGACGCAGACGCTCAGTGGCCACCCGGGATGGCAGACGCTCAGTGGCCGCCCAGGGACAGCAGACGCAAGCAAGTGACATGTACGGGCACCACTGGGAGCCGGTGATCTGTCATGGAACCGGAGACTTGCACAGATGGAGGGCTTGAGAGGGTGTGCGGCAAGGGCCACATGACCCTGTCTGGCAGCCACCCTTACAGAACAGATCGCAGACAAGGCAGTGCGGGCTGAGACAGCGGCCGCAGCACACCGCAGCAGAGCGCAGCGGAGTACCGGCGGCCACGGCAAAAGCTCTCCTATCTGTAAATGACCTTCAGAAAGTCCCAGCTCCTTAAGGGAAGGAGGATGTGCCGCCATTTCCCAGACGAGCTAGAGTTTCACTCATCGTTGCAGAAACGCTCCCCAGGGCCCGTGTGGGCCCGTGTGCGGGGCAGAGGAGTACAGCTGATGGACAGTCAGGACACAACCAGGACATGGCTGGGACATGGCCGGGACACGGGCGGACTTCGGACAGCCTGCAGCAGAGCCCCTCTGGCAGCAGCTTCGGTCTCGCGTCCAGACCTGGCTGGAGCAAGGCCGCTTTCCAGCGCCCCCGAACTGTCCTGAACAAACCGAGCCAGCCCGAGTGTCAACGTCCCCACCTCGCTTGGCAACAGGATATGCCCCGTGTCTAAGGCTTCCCCGGGGCCTGCCCACAGCCACGGACGCTGTGGCCTGGAGCCACCTGCTTGTCACCCAGCTCTTCCCTTCTGTGACTGTGAGAAGCGGGACACGCCTTGGACAAGTAACTACCTCTCCTCCATGTGCCGCTGCACCCCTGTCCCCCTGGCAGGGACAGCGTCCCGCGTGTTTAAGGAGACAGGTGCCTCTCTGCCATGGCTGGCGGTCAGTACCACCAGCCTCTCATAGGCCGGGGCTGCAGGGGGCACCCGCAAGACTGGGGTCCAGAGAGGGGTCAGGCGTTTCCCTCTGGGGAAGGGAAATCAGTCACTCACTGGGGTTTGAACAAAGCTTGCTCGGCCCAGTGCAAACCGCCAAACCAACCAGCAGGCGGAGTCCGCCACCCCGCCCTCGGCAGGCTGCCCTGTGAACAGCTCGCACACACGGGTCCTGCATGCTTCGGTAACTGGCTTTGGCCGAGAGGACCCCCCTGGTTCCAGGCTGCCAAACTACGGGCAGCAGGAGAGAGGTGCAGAGGGTGTTCTGAGCAGTGGCCAGGGGAGCATGCTCTGTACCCCCGTTTCTGAGCAGTGGCCAGGGGAGCACGCTCTGTACCCCCGTTTCTGAGCAGTGGCCAGGGGAGCACGCTCTGTACCCCGTCCAGCCCTCCCACCACTCCGTTAGGACAGCACATTGTCGGCATTCTGATTAAAACCCACCAATGGGAAGAGCTGCGGGGTTAAGGGAGCAAGAAAGTGCACATCCAACTGCCTTTCTCAAACAAGGCTCTGCTCAGGAAGACAGGAGACAGGGTCAGGCTGTGGCCGGCGGGCCCCCCCGAGGCTGCCGTCCAGCGGCTCCCCACTAGCGACGGCAACCAGTCTCATTGTTTCAGCACACCGGCTACAGATGGGATTGGAAACCAGCCCGGAGGCTCCTTTGAAGACTCAGCTGGAAGAGGAGGAGGGCCTGCAAGGGCCCAGGGAGCCGTCCACGGTGTCACTCGGGAACACGAGGGCAGCATGCCATTGATTCCAACTGGGCGCTGTTTGGGGAAAGAAGTGTCATCGCTTCACGTCCCCTCAGTGGTCTTTTTTTTTTTTGGAGAGGTTTTTGCTATAGGCGCATGCGCTCGCCAGACAGACCGAGAGAGACAGAGAGACAGAAAGTGAGAAATCACCCCCCAGCAGGGATGGCCACGCCGCAATCCCTTCTCCTTCATTCTCCTCTTGGGGTCTTAGGCATGCACGCACAGCGCCCGGCGTGAGTTTTAAGCCACCGGGTCTGGGACTCAAACCATGGTCGACTACATGGGAGTCCAGCGACATAGCCATTATGCTAATTGCAGATCCTGCTGCAATTTAAACTTTCTAATGCTGTGATTCCCTCTGTGTTTGTGAACGGACTCTGTAATCGATGTCTACTTGTCTTTTTTCCCATTACAAATACAACTGCTAGGTGGACAATTTTTCTGTTAAATGAAAAGAGCCCCACTCTAAGCAATTCTAATCTTTAGTGGGAAAAAGATGAAGTGGAATAACACGCAGTGCTGCAATGACCCTGACTGCAAAATCAATTCTGAGGCCCAACAGAAGGAACCTCAGAACTACCCTTCTTTGGGCTCTGAAACCAAAAGACCTAGGTTCGAATCCCACCACGACGCTTCTCCTCTTCAAACTTCCATCTTTCCTTTAGAAAAACGAGCTACTTCCTGCAAGCTCCATGGAAGATGTGCAGTAAAGGCCCCGGCCGAATGGCGAGTCTTACCGACGTCATTATCACTCAGGGAGCGGAGTTAGGCACCGTGGGAAGAACATCATGGTGTCTGGGGTTCCATTCCCTCTCTTCGATTCCTCCCCCACTACCTCAAGAAGTTCTCAGCTCCCATGTGCCAGAAAAATGCTCCTGGTACCAGGATCTGTGCTCCGGGAGGGAGTCCGCCCAGATGGGAAGTGTCTGAAGTCCCTCCGCCGTCCCCGCCCTCTGCCCCTCCTGGGAGTGAATCTCAGGACAGCCCCGCGCAGCTGAGCAGCTACAAAGGGAGGTCCAGGAGGCTAGCAGATGGCGTAGCAGTTACATGCTGGACTCCCACATGGCCGGCTGTGGTTCAAGTCCCGGACCTGGTGGCTTGAGACACGTTGGGTGTGTGTGTGCATGCCCAATACCTGGGAGAATGGAGAAGGGACTGTGGCATGGTCATGCCCCTGGCGGGTGAGTTCTCACTTTCCCTCTCGCTGTCTCTTTCTCTCTGGCAAGTGCATGCACCCTAAGGGAAAACAAAAGAGGAAGAGAAAAGACCCAGGAAGACAGCAGGCAGGCAGAGGTGTGGCTGAAGCCTCTCCACTACCGTCACCTGGTGTCCAGGAAAACAACGTCCCAATGTCACCACAAAACCTCACTTCTCAGGCTCGGCCTAGACAGTAACGTGCTGTTAAGTTCAAGTCCTGCACCAAAGTTTTACAGAATTCCAAACTCAGCAAGGTAGATCATTACAGGACGTTTGCCACACAGAGGATTCGGGGGATGCTGTGTCCTACATCAAGGGTTTGCTAGGATACTCTACATTTCCTTACTTTATAATTAAACAAACAAGAAAACATTGCCAGAGGTTACACGCCCATATGCAAAAGAGAGACAGGGAGAGCGCCCAGCGGGGAGCGGTCCCGCCACTGCCCTTTCCCACTCCTCTGTTCCGTCAGGGTTCTCGGTGGGCGTGCCCGGTGTGGTTTTCTAGTCAGGAGGCAGAGACTCGAGCCCGGTCAGGCGTGTGGGGCCTGGCTCCCTAGGCACAGGGCTTCATAGCTGTGCCGTGAGGCGGCCCTGCCAGGGTGATAATGCCTTCCTCTGGGAGGACAGCAGCAGCCAGCTGCAGTTCTTCTGTAGGCTTTGGTTTGACCAGAGAGGGACAGAGTGAGAGCGTGAGGGAGGGAGCGAGGGAGCCACCAGGTGGAGACGGAGCCACAGTCAGCCATGTGGGAGTGCAGTGCCCTTAACCACCACGCCACCTGCTGGCCCCTCACGCTTTTGAATTACATTTACAGAGCTAACGTTCTATATTTTACAAATAGGATAATGTCCCATTCACTGCTCGGTAATAAATGAGAACACGATGAGAAAAGGTGAAGACCCTTTCAACTAATTCTGTAATCAGGCAAAGGAGCAGCAGGAGACACCTGATGCTATCGATCAGCAGAAAGATCAAAGCGCACGTTTTCACTTGGCTCATCAAACAATACTCCTAAGTTACCGCATCCTCCTTTTTTTTTTTTTTTGGAGCGGTTTTCACTATAGGGCACGTGCGCTCGCCAGACAGAGAGAGACATAGAGACAGAAAGCGAGAAATCACCCCCCAGGGGGGATACGCCGCAATCCCTTCTCCTCCTGGGATCTTGGGCACGCATGCACACGCGCCCGGTGTGAGTTTTAAGCCATCGGGTCTGGGATGCGAACCGCGGTCGACTACGTGGGAGTCCAGTGACATAGCCATTACGCTAACTGCTGGCTCCCCCGCATCCTCCTTTTAACAAGGGAAAGAATGTCCGCACTCTCACGGCGCACAGACAAACCGAGATCCCCAATGAGACGGCGACGTAACACAGGCTGAGCGTTAAGCAGTGACAGTAAATCTGTATGAATGTTTACAGCCAAGCAGACCCTGCCATTCCAGACAAATGTGCAAGAGCCATCCAAGAGCCCTGGCTTCTCCTCTCACAGCACAGCTCCGCGAGCCACGGGGCGAGGACGCACCCCGCTAGGAGGGCTGCCCGGTGAGTGCTTTCTCACTTCCGTCTCTGTCTCTCCAGCAAGCACACATGCCCTAGAGCAAACATTTCTCTTCAAATAAACAAAAGCGCAGCGCAGAAAGGGCTCTCTAAAGTGAAGGCAGACAGACCTGGGCCCCCCTGCGAAACTGAGCTGAAGGCTCGGGGTGGGTGGATCCTGGGCAGTAAGTCTGCCAGGTCCGTGAGGGGCTCAGATGGAAGGATGGGAACTGTGGAGGGGCAGGGCTCTTGCGCACTCATCAGGAAAGCCCCGGGCCGCTAGGTGGGTGCTGCGCGTTGAGCTGACACAGGAGGGCAGATAGATACGGTTACGTCGGAGCACGAGGAGAGGGCCCCGATTCTCACCCTGATCGCGGGGAGCCCAGTCAGCAGGTACCACCAGGGAGGGCTCCAGGGCACGCCCGAGTCTGTGCCCCCACTTCCAAGGCCAACACGTGTCCCCGGGCGCAGCTGGCTCTGGCTGGACGGAAGGGCTACTTCCATGAGCACGGCCCCTTCGGCCCCGGAAAC